GTAGTAGTAATGGGTGGTAGTACAAACTGGAAGCTATGTATAATTTGCCAAAGTATCAAATACAAGGGAAACAAAAACTGTCAAAATGTCTAACTAAGAATGCTGACCAGAGGTTGAAATCAAGTACAAAAAGTAGGAGTGATGAAGACTTACTTAGCAGAGTAGAAGGTGTAGATCTGATTGCTGCTGACACGGTTTATCATCCAGGCTGTTATCAAAACTATACAAGTGCTAGAAATATAAAGCTTACTACTTCCAGCAGTATCAAGCAGTCTTCTTGGAGGAGTGAGTATGATACAGCATTTGTGAAATTAGTGGATGAAATAGAGGAAGATTGGATCATCAACTGATTGACTATAAGCAACCCACTGCAGCCTCATTAGACTTTCCATAACTAATTTATGGGCACGTATCCCACGGTTATAGGCCTTTCCCTTGAGAAGTTGCATAACACTATTGCTAGCATATACACCACTTTCGATCAATATATCTTCTATTCCACTATCTTCATATCTTTTACCAATCACTCCAAGGAAATTCAATTTGACTATGTGCTGATGCTTTACTCAATGTTTCTGGGGTATCTCTCTGACACTTGAGACATTTATTCCAGTTTGTTGTCAATCGTGTTACCTTGGCAGGTTTCAGTTTTAACGGACTTTCGGCATCCATGTTAAGTGAGAGTAGTACGTACCTGTAAAGAAATATGAGAAAATGTACAATCAAAGTGTATGTGTTTATCTATATGGTACTGACAAGTATTTAGATAACTGTTGATTTCATTGATTAGCAGAATAAACACCCAGTAGTGTAGATAACCTAATTAATACAATTAGATAACACTTACCCTGTACATAAAAAGCTGAAGAAAGTATTGCAATGTTGTTTAGATGTCACAATTTACAGAATAAGACTTTTGAATATGGATACTACATGAATGTCAATTTGAATAATAAACTCTCAAAACTGGTTTGTTCGTTTAGCCTGCAAGATAAAACATTACAGCAGTTCAAAATATATGAAATCAGCAGTTTTGACTCAACATTTATATATTTTGTGACCAAAATCGGACTTTGTTACCCTAATTAATCTATCTTTTGGGAAATATTTTGTCACTAGAGAAATTACGAAGAGCGATCAAGGGATTAATTATAGATTGTATTGTCCTTGCGCATTTGGAAATGTTAAAATATATATGTTTAAACATTTTCGATTTTCTTATTTTTGAACCAAAATAATGTTTTTTTAAACCCAAAAAACAGGGTGAAGACCCACATATAAGTCATTACAGCAGGTCTAATTTTGCTCATCATATATTGGTTATTCATAAAAATATAGTCAACTAAAGTTGTCTGGGGGGGGGGTGCTACAGACTCGAAAAATCCAGGTCTTGGCCCCTGGTCTAATTATCCTTGTTAGTTCTAACAGTGCGAATTAATATTTGTTAGGTTTCAATTTATTTGTTATAGTGTTGCGAGAATTAAGTCACATTATTACAAGGGTTACTTCAAATCTATATACCGGGTTAAGATATGTTATTCTAGATTTAATATTTTAGTTAATCATTAATACAAATTACTACAAGTATGTATTCTATCCACAAATGTGTTATATTCAGTCACAAACATAATTTGGAGATGGGAGAAGATGTATAATGGGATTTTCTATGTGTTATCAAATGGTTATATTGGCTATGTAGAATTGTCACTGCGATATATGTAATTATTAGTTTTTTTGTATTTTAAAATGTTTGTTATACTTTAAGTAAAATGAAAAAATGGTTTTGTGACCAGAAGGATATAAAAGCTGGAAAGATTGACTTCAATTTAATATATCATGTGTATGTTATTCATTTATAATCGTACGTTTAATAAATGACTGAAACATGTGAAATGTGACATTTTCATTGTTTTTTTGGTTTTTTAACCCAAAAACATATCATATCTAAGAGACTAAATACAGATATATTACAAGATTATCAACACTTTTCACTGGCCTGGGCCCTTTTACATTAGATTACATTTTGCAAATGTTTACTTATTTAAATATTTTTGTACCAAAATACCTATTTTTAAACCCAAAAATCGGGGTCAAGACCCGCATGAAAGTTATTACAGCAGGGCTTATTTTGTTCCCCAGATATTGCAGATTCAGAAAAACATTGCCAACAAAAGTTGTCTGGGGGGTGTAACGAACTCGAAAAATAAGCTCATTTTGGGTTTTGGCCCCTAGCCTATAAGTGACGCGATTCTTGATAACTGGGCACTACGTAATCAAAATAGAACAATGTTTGATTGCGTCACAATAACAGTAAATTTGAATATAGTGTGTTGCTGTCCGACAACCAATTACAGAAACTGAATTGATAACTAAACTGAAGGTACCAATCTTGAAAATATATATTTTCAGTAAGCTGGTATGTGGGAAATTATACGATCATTTGTGTTATGTGTAATATCCACAGTTTTTGATGGGTCAGAACATGAACCCTGGCAGCCGCACCAGAAACAAATATTAATCAAATGAAAACATATTACAACTTCAATGTACACCCTTATATGCATGTAACAAATACATAATTTCGAGAAAAATTATAAGACATCTGAGAACTAACAAATGTCAGTAATGATTCGTACATAGATGCACTCTATAAAATCAAATTATGTAAGGACACTTTGAAAGAAGCAGGGAATACATAGGATGAAATGAACGAATAAAAGGTGCGTTTTGGAAGTTAAAATGACAATACAAGAGAGATAACATGAAAAGTTATGAAAAGCATCAAGAATGATTCAACAATTTGGTCAACTTGTTAAGAAACTGATGAAGTGTACTTTAATGCTGAAATGAAAAATGGTGTCACAAACGACATCAATACCAATGTTAATGTTATGTATTTACACACGCACGTTAGTTTATAAAACACATAGAACGCTAAATGTTAAATAATCAGGACTTTAATGAGTAGTAACTAAGTCAGTCGCCGGATATAATTGCAAGACATACATGTATAGCACAACATTGTGATTAGCAATATTAATCAATTTATTGATTCATTGTGTGTATTAAAATAGAAAGTACTTTGTCAAGCCTAACCTAGAGTCTCCTAGAGTCTTCATAGCAAAATGTAAAATTCAACCACACAAAAGGTATACTATAGTAAATTATAGGTATACTATAGTAAATTAAAGTATACTATAGTAAATTATAGATACACTATAGTGAATTATAGGTACACTATAGTAAATTATAGGTACACTATAGTAAATTATAGGTACACTATAGTAAATTATAGGTACACTATAGTAAAGTATAGGTACACTATAGTAAATTATAGGTACACTATAGTAAATTATAGGTACACTATAGTAAATTATAGGTACACTATAGTAAATTATAGGTACACTATAGTAAATTATAGGTACACTATAGTAAAGTATAGGTATATTATAGTAAATTAATCATAGTCGAAAAAATTTTGTTGTTCAACAATACATCTGAAACTTGGTGGTTCATTCAAATGGGTTGGTAACTTGGTATGACACTACAAAAACAATGACTGAGTCAAATATGTTTAAAACTAAACAAATACTACCTTGATCAGGGCACTTATATAAAGAGTGGAGTTTGTTCTATTAAACAGGGACAAAGCAGGTGTGTGTGAGACATACGGGGCCATTTGGACACAAGTGTATTGGATTACCCAAAGTGTATTGAATTACCAAAATCAAGCAAAGAATATATTATTTTATAATGGTATGAACAACAAGTAGAAACAATTTTGCAATACTGCATTTACATAAAGTTCAAAACAAAAAGAATAAAAAAACATTAGTATATGGTAATCAGTCTATATATTCACTACGGGAATAGAGGAGCAATGAGAACCATGATCCTCATACAAGTCCTTTAGTTCATCTGCTCGCTTTGCCCCATTGTCGTTCTTCTCTGCCGATTCTACATCCCCATCACTGTTCTCGTTCACCAAATCAGACTGGCTCGATGTCGGTGATTGTGCTTGGTATGACACCTTATTTGTCATTCTGGAAATAACGTAATCATTAATATTCATCACTTACAATCAAAGAATTATGCATTAATGAAATTAAATAAAGACGAGCATCAACTAATATGATTCATATAACTAGTGATATAAAAGTGATTTAAATTAATTGGAGAAATTGACTTTTATTCTACCATTGATCACATTGTAAAATACACATGCAGTGAATCTTCATCGATCATTTTAACAGACAGAAAACGACCCTATTCCCTGGTGAATTGGTTAGTCTAGCACATACCTCTTGTACAAGTGTCTTCCCAGAACAGCGAATATCCCTCCTACACCAACAGCAGCTGCTATACTGATTGCAACAGTAGAACTCTCCGAAATGATGCTGTTCATTTCTGAAAACCCAAAACAATAATTGTTTTTTGATTTGATCAACTAATCATATGATCTGTTATGATTTATTTCCTCAACACATTGTCAGTGACATAATGTGACATGTAATCCAAGTGAATCCATGACCATGTGGAAAAAAGTTAATCATTATTCATTGATTTTAATTTCCCCTTTTTCGCTGATATATTTAATCTATATTAACGTACACAATCACAAAATAACCAATAAATTTCATGGCAAGTTTAAATTTAAAAACAGGTGAATACACTCGAAAAAAATACTATTCTGGAAGTTGATACGTTACAGTGATTGAATGATTAATACTCACCTTCAAATGCTTTTTGGGTAGTTAAATCTGCATGCTGTGCTCCAACATCACCTTCTAAAGGAACTACTCTTTTGTACCAAATATTGTTATAGGTGGGTGTTGTAAGTACCTGCTCATGAACTTCATGTACATTTTCAACATTTAATAGTTGACCATTATTCTCATCCTGTTCTTCATTATCATTTATATTACCACCTTGAGTTCCCTCTATTTGACCTTCCTCGTCTTCATCTGCTCTACCTGGATTATCACTTGATTGACCACTGCTACTCTGGCCTAGATCCCCATTACCATTTGTATTAGTATTTCCACCATGAACATCAATCGGTTCTTCTACTTCTTCATCTGTAATATTCAAACTGTCAGTGGTGTGACCAGTGTTATTCTGGTTATGTTCTCCACCACCATTTGTAGTAGTATTTCTACCATGTCCACCGCCATCTGGTCCTTCTTCATATTCATCTGCACTACCTAAACTGTCAGTGGAATGACCACTGTTACTCTGACCATGTTCTCCACCACCATTTGCTTTAGTATTTCCACCATCTCCGACACCAACTTCTTCATCTTCATCTACGCTACCTAAACTAGCAGTGGGGTAGCCACTGTTACTCTGACCATGTTCTTCACCACTATTTGCATTAGTATTTCCACCATATCCACCACCATCTGGTTCTCCTTCATCTTCATCTACACTACCTAAACTAGCAGTGGAGTAGCCACTGTTACTCTGACCATGTTCTTCACCACTATTTGCATTATTATTTACACCATGTCCACCACCATCTGGTCCTCTTTCATCTTCGCCTGTACTACTTAAACTGTCAGTGGAGTGACCACTATTACTCTGACCATGTTCTTCACCACTATTTGCATTAGTATTTCCACCATGTCCACCACCATCTGGTTCTCCTTCATCTTTATCTACACTACCTAAACTAGAAGTGGAGTAGCCACTGTTACTCTGGCCATGTCCTCCGCCACTATTACTATGACCATGTTCTTCACCACTATTTGCATTATTATTTCCACCATCATCTGGTCCTCCCTCATCTTCACCTGTACTACTTAAACTGTCAGTCGAGTGACCACTGTTACTCTGGCCATGTCCTCCACCACTATTTGCATTAATATTTCCACCATGTCCACCACCATCTGGTCCTCTTTCATCTTCGCCTGTACTACTTAAACTGTCAGTCGAGTGACCACTATTACTCTGACCATGTTCTTCACCACTATTTGCATTAATATTTCCACCATGTCCACCACCATCTGGTTCTCCTTCATCTTCATCTACACTACCTAAACTAGAAGTGGAGTAGCCACTGTTACTCTGGCCATGTCCTCCGCCACTATTACTATGACCATGTTCTTCACCACTATTTGCATTAGTATTTCCAGCATGTCCACCACCATCTGATCCTCTTTCATCTTCGCCTGTACTACTTAAACTGTCAGTCGAGTGACCACTGTTACTCTGGCCATGCCCTCCACCACTATTACTATGACCATGTTCTTCACCACTATTTGCATCATTATTTCCACCATGTCCACCACCATCTGGTCCTCCATCTTCACTTGTACTACTTAAACTGTCAGTCGAGTGACCACTGTTACTCTGGCTATGTCCTGCACCACTATTACTATGACCATGTACTTCACTATTTGCATTATTATTTCCACCATGTCCACCACCATCTGGTCTTCCTTCATCTTCACTTGTACTACTTAAACTGTCAGTCGAGTGACAACTGTTACTCTGGCCTTGTCCTCCACCATTACTATGACCATGTTCTCCACCATTATTTGTATCAATATTTCCACTATATCCACCACCAACAGGTCCTTCTTCATCTTCACTTACACTACCTAAACTATCAATGGAGGGACCACTATTACTCTGGCCATGTTTTCCACCACCATTTGTATTAGTGTTTCCAACTAGTCCACCATCAACTGGTCCTTCATCTTCATCTGCACTATCTGTACTGTCGGTAGAATGTCCACTGTTGCTCTGGCCATGTTCTCCCATACCAGTTTTCCCAGCTTCGGATTGAGATAAGGTAACTAGTGGAATATAATGTAAGTGAGAGAAAATGTGAATTCATAACATTTAGATTTAAAGACGGCCATGATGCAACAGCGCCGGAAAGCATCGAGTTGTGATGAGCTGCGGAAGGAAATCTAACTCTTATCTCTTTTGTTGTAAAATATAGTGTTTCAGATGTTGAAAAGGAAAGATACTGTCAAGGAAACGAGCAGAGTTTTTACTAAATGTCAAACAACGTGACGCTCCTTTTCTGGCATCTCTGAAGATGCCACCTGTGAGAAAACCGTGATGCAAGGTGTAGATACCTTGACGGCCTTATCTCAACACTAAATTCAGTGCAGTTGTCGGTGTTGAAAAAAGATTAGATGCGTTTGATCTAAAATTGAAAGACTGCGACAATTAAATTGTTGAAGTGTTGATTTTGTGTCGAAAGAAGTAGAAAGTATGGCAAGGACATTGACACACAAAGTTAACACAGCGGTCAGGAAAGCTATCGATATTCGAGTGGATGATTTTTATAATGGAACTAGAAGAAATAATATTATAATTTATAATATTCCAGAGGAAAGTGGAGAATTTCCACATTCCTGTGAAGAATTTCTTCAAACTTTGGGGCTGAAACCACAAACAGGTGATGCCACCTTGAAGACGACTGGAAACTGGTGCGAAACCATGCAAAATCCGCACTAAAAATATAAATATTATGGATAACGTCAGTTTTAGGTCAACAAAAAATGACGATTGACTGTTAAAATGAAGGAACTTTAAAATCAGATATTTTTCGATTATTTATAGTAAAAGTAAAGCAAAACAAAATAGAAATAAAGAGGATGATATCGAAAATTGAATTTAGAAA